GCAGGTGGCAAGTGTGAGTGGTCCCGCCTGGCACCCGGGATTCCCTGGGGAATGGTTTTAAGCGGACTGGGCTGGATGAAAGACCAGAGCTGGGTGGTAGGAGGGCAAAGGAGGCAGAACAGCGTTGGGAACTGAGCCTGGTGATCAGGAGGGAGGAGAGCAGTGCATCCTGGGTAGAATTCTCAGGCACACCCCTTGGCCACCACCTTCCCTCAAAGTTCTGATCCAGCAGGCCGGGTCAGGCCTGAACACTCCAAAATCACAGAGTGAGACAAAGAAGAGGAACTGGGAAAGATGAAGCATAAAGGTATGGAAGGCAAGCAGGAGACAGTCCAGGAAATGGAAGACTCAGTGCTGAGGAGAATGGAAAGACACGACTGCTTGCTGAGGGGCCCAAGATGGGTTAGAACCACTGATAAGCTGGACACCGACAAGCCCTTGACTCTTTGGAAGACAAGGACAGCTTCAGAGGTGGAAGGAGAGTATCCTGCTCTGTTATCAAACACAACACACAAGCAAATGTCATCCTGACAAGTGAAAGTATTCTAAACTCAGATTAATTCAAGCTTCTGTGAAAAAAGTAGTTATTCAAGCAATATACATAATTGGCTACCTAGATTCATCCAACAGAATCATCAGGATCTACACAGAGCCACGATCACCCTGTGTACTCTGATAACAACAGGTTACTTGTTTAGAACTGTCCACTTCTTCAAAGTCTCACTCACAGCAGTGACCCACAGCATGAACACAGGTTATGCCCTTCCAGGCCCAAAAGCTGGTAAAGCCAAGGTCACAAAGGCCCTTGCTTCCATGCAGAAATTGAAACAGGCACTGGACTTCACTCACATCAAATCAGGTGGAAGACCAGAGCCATGTGAGCAACTAAGTGGAAGGAAATTTCAGAATGATTCCTGACTAGACAAACCTTCAGTACCAAAAGGCCCTCCCTGTTCCCAGCCCCAATCACTGGACACTGACCATTTCTGATGGCAACAGAAAAATAAACTACACTCATGAGGCAACTGTTAAAAATTTTTACTTGCTTAGCAAAAGAGCCCCAGAATAAAAATCAAAGGCGTGAAAGTTTGGGGGATAATGTCTCAGATATCCAACATGTAACTGTGAGATTTCCAGAAAAAAAGAACAGAGAATATACCATGACAGAAATCATCAAAGAACTAATGTGAGAACAGGAGGAGGTGGTGCATCCCTGTAATCCTAGCACTTTGGGAGGCTGAGGCAGACAGATTACAAGTTCAAGGCCAATCCAGACAAATTAGTGACCTAGCAATATTTGTCCCAAATAAAAAAATTTTTTTAAAAGGGCTGAAGATATAAATCAGGACAAAGGCCCAGAGTCCAATCTCCAGTACTAGAGAAGAAAGAGAAAAGAAAAGAACACAAGAAAATTTCCTATGCCTGAACGATGTGATTGGGGGCTCATTAAGCGAATATCATGCTGCATAAGATGAAAGATTTCCAGCAGGCACTTCATCATCAAATGGAGAAGATTCTAGAAGGTTCCAGAAAGAGAATAAAAAGCCACAAATAAGGAGTAGTAATCAGAATGCTGTGGGCCTCCTCACCAGCAATGCCTGCATCTATGAGCCAGCAGAACAGTGCTGTCACAGCTCTGAAAGAAAAAGGTATGCAGCCTGGTTTTACATGTGTAGGCAGACTAATATGAATATTATACATTACGCACAATGTGGAAGGAGCCACTCTCTCTTCTCTCATTGAGCAAGTCTTTTCTGAGGTCTTTACTTGGGATCTGACACAAGTCGGCTCCCTTAAGGAGTGCTTTCCACCTAGGCAAGGTGCGCCAGAAGGTTTCTCCACCATGCCCATGCTCATTGGCTGAAATTCTGCAGCTTGAGCTTCCAACCCTTTGTCTTAATTTTTAACCTCGTGGCCACCTTTACTATTAACCTTCCTGTCTGTTTCCATCTCCCACCTATTTTGGGCTCTTACTTCCGTACTTTTATTAGAAGCATCTTTCCTAAAGCCAGCGATTGTTCACAACTCTTGATTTATATTTCTCCTGAATACCTGGTCAGCACCTACTTTGTTCTACTCAAATGGTGGGCCCAAGAGAGCAAAGATCAAGAGAGGCTGAGTGAGGACTGGATCAAAAGGGAAATCAGGGAATCTGCCGCTAAGAAATGCTTCTAGACTAGAACTAAAGAACTTGGGGCTTTCACTATATTTCAGCGTATGGGGGGGAGGGGGAAATCACAGGAATTCTGTATCAAAAACATTTTAAAACATTAAAAATATGCATTTGCATGGAACACCATCTTGATCATATTCTCAAGATCTTAAGCCCAGTGGTAGGAGAGAACCTCTATGTGGTTTAAGTCCAACAGAGAAAAGGAAAGCTTACTTGCCTTAACAGAGTCCCTTAAGTAACAGAGTCCCAATTTATGAAACCCAAAAAACGGTCTGAGACATTAAGATACCCTAAACATGGAGACTGAAGAAAACAGATGGACTGAATATTCATTTGGAAAGGTACAATGCCATTTCTTTCAAGCTCCAGTCCTTGTATAGCTTATTGGACACACTCAGCTTGTCCAAACACTAATTCCTGATCTTCCTTCTTAAAACTCCTCCTCCACCTTCACTGTTTTAGACAGAGCTATCACCAGCAGCCTTTCCCATGGTGCCCAAGTGAGATGTGATCTTAGTATCCTCCCACTTCCTCAGTCCAGCTGCTGAAATCCCCTTAAACCTGAAGCGTCCCCTCCCATCTGCCCACAGTCACTCCAGTTCAGGTCCCCATTTGCTCCAATTAGCCTGTAGTTTCCCATTTATTGTCAATGAATAAACGAAGCCAATCAGAGTTCTAATCATTTCACACCTGAAGCAGAGAGCCTCGCTGCCCCTCAATGTCTATTTCCCCTATTTTCTTAGGAACAGAAGTCTGATGTTTAGATGGTCATATTGCTCCCCAGAATAAAGTTTCTATCATCCTAAGTTCTGGACAATGATCTGTAATAATCCAACTTAAGAGGGACAGCTGAGGAGACTGTCTGAACTGAGAGACACGCACGTTATGCCCGCTCCTTCCCCTTTTTCCCCTCCTGGCCTGCAATGCAACTGTGGCCTTCGGAGTCTGGCAGCCATCTCAGACCCCGAAGTAACTGTGAGAGGCAAGTCTGCTTCACTGAACAGAAAAGCAGAAAAATGAGTCCTTGATAACTGCATGGAACTCATACCTGCTCTCAATTACCCCTACCAGAGTCCTCTGTGAGGAAATAGCTTTTCTCCATTATTCACAGCTGTGTACAAATTAAAACTGATAACATTTTGTTCTAAAAAATCATTAGTGGCTCCCAAATTCTGATAAATCAGGGTCTAGACCCCTTGGTCCAACAACCACAACAATGCTAAATCTAGACTTCACCTTCATTTCCTCTTGTCTTCCATTCCTTTCCTTCATTCAATTTATAATATACTCAATCCAAATAGCTGTGATTCCCCCAGGAGCATGGCCACCACTAACTGTGTTTAAGAGATTATGGATCAGAAGAGTTGATGGTGAAAGGGACCTTGATAAGCCTCTAGAGCAGGAGACCTAGCACAGTTTTTGTCAGGCATTACTCAGTTTTTCCATCACTAGGCCAAACACTTGAACACTCACAATTTAAAGGAGGAAAAGTTTAACTTAGTTTACATTTCAGAAGATTCAGTCCATGGTCAGCCTGCTCCAATGCAGAAACATGATAGAGGAGCACAATAGAGGAAAACTGCTCATTTCATGGCAGCCCGGAAGAGCTGGACAAGGAGAAATAACCTCTAAAGACACACCCCAGGAACACACTTCTGCAATCAGGCTCCATCTCCTAACAGCACATTTAGTTATGAATTCATCAGTGGTCGATTCGCTGATAAGCATGGTGCCCCCAATATCCAATAACCCTTCTAAAAGCCCCACCTTTGAACACATGAGACTTTTGAGGAATATTTTGGATCTAAACTGTAAGACTCAGTGAATTCCCTTTTCTGATTTTGAAATAAATATCTTGCACACAAAACTCAATCTATAAATGACAAAATGCAGAAGAGATCTGATTTATAAACCATCAGCCTGGTCCAAATTTATATTTTTATTTCCTTAAAGATGAGGGATTGAAGCTCACAGGGAGGAATTCAGTGTGACTGATCCAGGGCCGGTTAGGGCTGGTTAGAGCACAGTAAACTCAAAACTAGCACGAGCTTCTGTTCTTCCCATTATCCTTACCAATGAGTCATGCAAATGTGGATGCTCAATAAAGGCCCAACTAAGTAGCAAGTCTTCAGATACTGATATTTCTAGTTAAGAGAAGAGGGGCTTTTACTAAACAAGGATTTCCAGGGCTTGTCAATTCGCACAAACTAGGTTGACTAGGTATACAGCATAAAGAGCAGTGTCCCAGATTAATGCCTTTCAGTCTGGAATTTTCCAAATGTCAGAACACTTCCCATTCAGATCCATGCCCAAAGGAGCCACTGTAATTAGCCCAGTGTCTAGAGAAGTGAGATTAAATATCTGGTCAAAGAATGTGTCTTCCCATGATACTCATAAAATCCTCCTGACTGCTGTTCCACACTATTAAAAAGTATCAAAATGTTGACTTCCCCGGGAAAACCACATTCTTCTAGGCTCCTTAGTCATCAGGAGGGAGTTTAGTGACCATGTGTGGCAAGTTGGGCTAAAGACGCCTGTACTGCAGACCTGCCTGCAGGGCCTGGTGACACCCCGATGCCACATGTCTGCATTTCAGGAAAGCAGCTACCCTAGGTGGGTCCAGAGAGAAGGCACACGTTGAGCATTTAAGGAAAGAACAGGCCTAAGAAATCATGGAGCCAGTTTTGCTTGATATACTTAACTGTTTTGAATGAGATGTCTTCTCTCTAGAAATAAAACCACAGAGGACAGGACAAAGTATATCCACAAGATTAAGGTTTCCTAAAGAGAAATTAACAGGAACAGAGCCAGGTGTGGTAGCACATACCTGTAATCCCAGCACTGGGGAGGCTGAGGCAAGAGGATCTTTGTAAGTTCAAGACCAGTGTGACCTACAAAATGAGCTCAAGGCCAGCCAGAACTGAACAGAAAGAAAGAATGAAAGAAAGAAAGAAAAAAGAAATTAACTAGAATGTGATTGTTGAGTGCAGAAAGACAAAGGACAGAAAGAAACAGCCTTGAGTAGGGTCCTACAGGATAGTAATGGTTAAAAAGATAAGTGTGTCGTGTGACCCTAGGCAATGTCCCTGCTAGGCAGAGAAAGCAAGCACAGCAGAATGAGAATGAAGAGGACCAGGCCCAAGGCAGATGTCAGCTCCCCTCCAGTCTGTCGGCTGGCAGCCACAGTCTAATGCTGCACACGGTGTGACCCGGGCAGGCGATTGCTCTAAAGTGCCTGTAAAATGGAGATGATAATACAGTGCCTACTTGATGAAGTGTTACAAGGTATAAAGCAAAGTACCACCAGGAGCCTGGCACACGGGAAGTGCTCTGTAAATGTTAGCTATTATCATGGCTCACACTCACGTACTCATTCCATCATCTGCCCGGCCAGACAATAAATACCTCGGGAGCAGAGACCATGCCCTCCCTTCCCCGCTGCACACAGGATTCATACAGATGCTTTACAAGTGTTGGCTGATTGATTAATGGGCGCTGGAAGAGGAGGCTGAGCTCATTAGATGACATGTGACAGCATGTTGCCTCCTGTTCGGAAAGAAATCTCTACCCGCCTTTACTTGGGGAAGAGCACAGCAAATCCCTGCGCCCTTTAAAGTATATCAAAGTGTGCCTTATTTTCCCCATTTCACAGATCAAAGAAGCAAGCTGTCAGGAGCAGCGGGGACCCGGCTCGGACCGACGGAGGGGCAGGAGCGGGGCCTGCAGGCCGGCTCCGCCCTCCCCGGGAAGCCCCAGTTCAGACTTGCGCGCTGCGCCCATAAAACCCGCTCCGCCCAGGACGGAGATCGCGCCGCCTTTGTCTCCCGGCCCAGTTCACGCCATAAAACCCCACGGCCAGCCGTGCCTTTTCATTTGTGATGATCAAAGCGGTAGGTGTCGGAGGCGAAGCAAGCACCCTTTTCATGCGTGTGTTTTAAGATGCAGAGTCCACGCGGTGCCCTGGGCTCACCTGTCCCCCGGGTCTCTGCACCCGGTGCGCGGGGCGCAGTCACGTGGCTTCCGTGCACCCGCCCCGCCCCGCCAGTCTCGGGAGTCGGGTTACCAGGAATGTGGGGCCACTTCTCAGGGTCTGGGTGAAGGCCGGAAGGACTGTGGAAAGACGGGGTGGAGAAACCAGAAACCCCGAAGGAGGAAAACAGGTTTCCTTTTTTAGGGCGCCAGTGCTGCAGGCACATGCAGCTGGGGCGGGGCAGGGTGGGGAGCCAGGTACTACTGCTTGTCTTGGGGAGTGGAGGAACGTGTACTCCCACCCACCCCCACACATACGAGGCCATGTGAAATGCATACCTGAAGTTGTCGCAGGGGAGGACCAAAGTCTTGGCAACCACACCGTGCGGGGCAGATCAGAAGGGGCATTGTACCAGCATGGCCGCTGAGAATGGCTGTGGAGTAGGCGTATTGTGGATCGCACACCTGGCTCACGCAGCCTGAGAGTGAAAAATTGCTTTCATACAATCATCTGAGCAACAGGATGAAGGATTTCCGCTGTGTCACAACAAGGCTGTGCGCAATATACAACTCCAGGCATTGTGCAAGGTCCTCCGGTGCTCCAGAGACACAAGTACACCTGCCAATCATTCACCGACCTCCGGGCCTTCTGGTTCCCTGGGAGTTTTTCTTAAGACAAAGGGGAACAAGTTTCACCCTGCAGTGTTGGGGATATCGAACACTTACAGCTTCAGTCAGCAATCTGGAAGGGGACGGAACAGTTTAACCTTTGGGAAGCCAGACACCTCTAGAGGGGACACAGGACACCTTCAAAATTAAACCTTAACTAGAAAAGGAAGAAAAAACAGATAATATCCTTTCTGCAGTCCCCTAATACCTTAAGGAGTTCAAAGGTTTTCCAAGCCTGCGGCGCTTGGCAATTACAATTACGCAGTAAAATACCTAAGGTTAATGAATAACCTCTAAAGGAAGTTACTTCACATAATGACAGCAATTTCTCTGAACTAAATGTTAATAATAAGGCCTGTAATACTATGAGAAGGAAATGGTGGCGATTGGCAAATGGAACTGTGTGTTACTTGGTAACGAAACCTAAGGTATGAACATTCCCTGTACCTGGCTGGAGAGGGGTGGGTGGAAAGCCCGCAGCCGTGGCAGGCAGAGGCTGAAATGCAGGCAGCCTTGGGAAGCCACAGCTGGCCAGCAGCAGCCAAGTAGATGCACGTGTGGCAGATCCTTAGCGCACAGAAGGTAGAGGAAGAAGAATTCCCTCCCATTTGCTTACAGCCCAGTAAGGGAAATGGGGTGCAATCCATAGAGACTGAGGGCAGCGCAGTTCACATTACCTGGTAGAAATCGATGCTAAACAAATAGAAAATTTCAGCAAGATCCACCTAACACCTGAAGCTTCTCGCCTGCCCCTTCTTCCTTTCTCTTTATGCCAGCAGAGACGCACACTTTGAACTTCCGGTTTGTTTGCTCTCTTTTGGAGTAACTGCGGCACTTGAGAGAAGAACTGGAAAAGGAATGCAGTTAAGATAACCTGAGCGTGCACACTGCTTGCAGAGGAAAACTGCACACATCTGAACTGCAGGCTGTGTTTAGTCCGGTCATTACCGGCAGCCTGAATAGAAAGATCCTAGAGACAACCTCTTCCAGCTGGATCATTGATCAATAGGAAATGGCCCACATCAAGGTCATTATTACCAAACCATTGCAGGAGCAGGCTGGGGGTCTGTAAATTCCTGTTCGTTTCATGGCAGTAGAGCTTAATTCTAACAGAATATCTCTAACACCTCAATAGCCTTTTTAAAATGCAGATTCTGACCAGCTGTAATTGCCCACACCTGTAATCCCAGCAGTTTAGCAGCCTGGGGTAGGAGGAGCTCAAGCCCAGCCTAAAAAATAAACGGGCTGGAGAGTGGGTCAGTGCAAAAGTCCTAGGTTTGATCCACACTATCAAAGAAAAGGAGAGAGAGAGAGAGAGAAGAGAGAGAGAGAGAGAAGAAAGAAAGAAAAAGAAAGAAAGAAAGAAAGAAAGAAAGAAAGAAAGAAAGAAAGAAAGAAAGAAAGAAAAGCAAATTTCTGGGACCTCACTTTTAGATGCTATATAGTGGGTCTAAAATAAGTATTTTAAAGTGTTCTGATCATCAGCCAACTGTAGGAATCAAATGGTAATTTGATTGAATCTATGTGGTAAGTTTTTGAGTTCACCAGACATAGAAACTGAGAAATGTTCTTTGCACTTGAAATTTAATATATTTCCTTCCTTTCTCTAAGAGAAATTGATCTACACATTTTTAAAAACAAAGTATACTGTAAATATATTATTTTCTTGTTTCCTTTTAATGTTAAAAATGTATTAAAACTGCTTGTAATACCAAAAATAATTGAGTTTCTGGCTATCCTGTCATTTAATTGGAGGCTACTTACTATAATTTTAGCATCTTCCTAAGTAGTCAAATAAAATTATCTGCCATAAAAGCCTTGAAAGGCATAAGCTTTGCAAGCTCTGTGCAAATCCATAAAATGGCAAAGTTGGTCCCTTAATTTTAGTTACTTTTTTTTCATGGAGGTTTTTGGGTTTTGTTTTTTATCAAGCGTCAGCCAGTACTATTAAAAGCCATCGGTAGACGTTTTTTCTCCCAGTTTTCCCTCATTACATATTTTCTCTGACTTTTTACTTTGATTTTTAAAATAATAACCCTTTATTGTTTACCTATGCGTCCTAGTGGACTACTCTTATGGCCAGGTAATGACCTGTGTGGGCCTGAGAAGGTGAAGCACTGACTCAGGGGAATGACTCTAGAATAGCAGAAGATGTTTGAGAGGGGTCTACGGCCAGACCCTGAACGCGCTGATCTGGTCTCGGAAGCTAAGCAGGGTCAGGCCTGGTTAGTACTTGGATGGGAAGATGTTTGAGAAGGATTGGCCCTAAAAAGTTTTACACTTGAAATGAATCAAGAATTCTTAGGGCCTCTGCCTTCACTATGCATGACAGTAGATATTACACATTTTTTTAAAAAATGTTACTGGTACGTGTTTGCAGTACATACTGATTGCATTCCTCATGGAGAGCTTGCCCATGTATAACACACTTTAATTCTGAATAAGACATTGTAACCACAGCCAAATAAATTAAACATCATGTAATAATCAAAAGAAGCACCATCAATGCACCATAATGAAGATTAAATGTTTTCAGAATGTATGGATTACTTGAGCTGCAAGAAATGAGTGCCTCCCAACAAGGAGAACGAGTGACTTGACAAAAGCCATCTGCACTCTACCCAGATTCCTTACAGAGCACTAGCATAGAGCCTTAGAAGCCAGAAGCTGCCCCTGAACCCCAAATCCAGTTGCAGGAAGCATCCTTCAGAGTACTACCCTTGCATTCGTACTCCGGGAGTAGGAGGAACTTTACATGCCTCTACTATGGTATCCGGACTCTCTTGACTTTTAGATTGACCCTCCTTGGCCTTGCCCCTGCCCCTAAGGATGCAAAATACTGTAAACATCACATGGAAATCCTGATTCACCAATGTACTTGAGCTGAAACTGCCCAACATACTAAAAGCTACATAAGAGCTTTGACCCCCTCGTCCCACATTTCAAATGTGAGCTTTATAGAATACAACCATCCAGGCATAGGAAAGGTTCCCTTTCCTATAACACACCTGACTCCCTACCTAAGAGGGCCCCTGTGTTCTCAGAGGGTGCCTGTGGGACCCTAGTGACACCTTCACGTGATGACTGTGATAGCACTGGCTTGTCAAGTCTCCCAAATTGGAATACAAACTCATTGAAAATAGGAAGTAGATTTTACTCTCCCTGTTTGCCAGGGTTGGGTGTGGTACCCAGTACATTAAAAAGTTAGACCCTGATGACTATTGAATGGTTAAAGATTGACAAGGAAAGCCAGAGCCAAAAAGTAAACTGGTTCAAAAAAAATTTTTTTATTCAAGACCATTTGTCCAGGACAGCAAAATAAGAAAAGAAACCTCAGTATAAAACTAGGCTCAGTTTATAATTCAACACAGGCAAATGGGAATTTATAGCCAAGAAGTAGAGTGGGTGTTGATGGATTAAAAAAAAAATTACTTAGAGAACATACAAGGGGTGAGTTTGTGGAGAATCTAATTGTATTGACTTAGTAGGCCAGGCTGGGATGATCAACTTACCCTGAAGGATGGTAAAGGATAATGAACCCAATTAGACATCGAGGATGATCAGATATGAAGGATGGGGAGTAACTGCTAAAATGATGAAGCAGAGCTCTGAGACTGGGTTGTATAAGCACCATGGTTTGAATGTGTTCTTCCAAATTCATACATCAACAGTATTTGAAGACAGAGCCTTAGGACTATATGTAATCGTGAATTAGGACTATTTGTAACCATAAAGGTAGCAACTGTGACAGCACTAGTGATAAAGAAGAGAAGTTCAACCTAGCACCATGACCTGGGACACCACGCAATGCCTTCTACCAGCCATGATGAAGCAAGAAGGCCCTTACCAGGTGCTGCCTACGTGCCTGTGGACTTGCCAGCTCTGGATCTGAAAGCCAAGTAACCTTATATTCTTCATAAACTTCCTAGTCTCAGGTATTTTGTGATAGCATCAAGAAAGATTTTTTTGCCAAAATTTGCCAATAATGGTTGGTTGCTTTTTTCTTTTCGTTTTTCCTTTTCTTTCTTTCTTTTTTTTTTTTCCTTCTTTTCTGTACCATGGATTGAACACAGGAGCCTTGGATTGAGCTGTATCCCCAGTCTTTTTCAGTTTTTATTTTAAGCAGTTTATGTTAAATTGCTAAATTTCCCAGGCTGAGCTTGAACTTGCAATCCTCCTGCCTCAGCATCCAGAATGCTAGGGTACAGGCATGTGCCACCACATGTGGCTTACTGGTTACTTTCTCTATATAACCTATTATATTTTTCTTTTTTCTTTTAAAAAGACAACAGTGCTTAGTGATGTATTTAATCACTGCTATCAGACTATAAATTGTTACAGCTGCTGATTCTTTTCCAGATTAGAAACTCTGATGGATTTTGAGAATATGGGCAAAGGAGAGGAACATAAAAATCAGAACAGAGAATGATGAAGGGAGAACTGTTATTTCACTCCACCCTTAGTCTTGATCCTGAACGATCCCAATTCCTTCCCCTACAAAGGAAGAGGTGGCTGTGGTGAATTGGTTGAAATGAGTTTGTCCCATAATCTACCACTAGAATCCTGAAGATCAGGTATACTCCTAACAGAGGCCTACAGTGGAGAAAGATGGTCTCTTATAGATTACTCATCTCTTGTAAAAATGTGGTTCTCGGACCTATGGCAGGCCTAGTCCTGGTCTATAGTAGATTCATAGAGAGTGAGGGTGGGATAGACAAAGCCTGGGGATCTGATCATAGGAAGGGACTGCTGAGAATTAGAGATTACATTGGTAAAGCAAATGGCACACTGACATATAATAAAGATAGAAGTGATACATTCATCATGTGCTTAATAGATGTTCCTGAAAAAGAATGGAACCAGGCCTAACGGTGCACTCTGCAAGACTGAGGCAGAAGGATTGCAAGTTCGAGCCCAGCTCAGGCAACATGGTGATTTAGTGAAACTCTGCCTCAAAAAGTAAAAATGGCCTGGGAAGATAGCTCAGTGCAAAGGCCCTGGGTTCATTCCCCTGTACAAGAAGGAGGAGGAGGAGGAGGAAAAGGAGAAAAAGGCAAGGAAAGAAGTGTTCTAGTATATTTTGGAGTCTCTCTGGCCCAGACAGCCTAGCCCCTTGTAACCACCAAGGCCTGATGTTTTGCTGACAATTAGAGGTTCAACCTACTCCACATCTTACCCTCCCCTTAAATGTTCCGTACACACGGCCTTCTGCAGTGTATAAATAAATGCGCTGCAGTTGTTACGCAGCCCTTTCTCGCATCAGGGGGCGCTCCACCTGACCTCAGCTTGCTGCATCTGGACTTTGGTCTTCTTTTCCTCATCCTCCACCGTCCTCCCTCTGGAGTTTTGAGAGCTGCTCTGGACAGGGAGGTTTCTCTTTTCTTTGAGAACTAATGGAACTCCTCGTCACTCAACAACATACATGAGCGCCATTCAAGAACTCTTCAAGGAGCCAGGAGTGATGGCACACACCTTAATCTCGGGGAGCTGAGGCAGGAGGATCACCCTGAGTTTAAGGCCAACCTGGGCTACATAAGCAAGTTCAAGGCCAGCCAGCACTACATAGTGAGACCTGGTCTCAAAAAAAAGTTCAGGGAGACTGCATTCCCATAGTCAGTCTCCCTTCCTCAATAAAAAAAATTCAGTTTTTCCCCTTAAAATTAGACAATCCGGTTATCTGAATAACAGTCCCCTATAGTACTTACAGTCCTCCAAACCTCTATGAGGAAAAATCCCTAATCTTCCAAATTTCCAATTTTATATCAGTTTATGTCATCATTATTTGAAGAATTGGGGCTCTTCCTCTATACATCAAGCTCTTAAAAACATTTTTCCCCCCAGTGCTGG